CCCCAAAACCCCAAAACCCCAAAACCCCAAAACCCCAAGTTTGTAATTCAAGATTGAACACTTCTTAAAACCTTGTCCATATGAACAGCAATAAGGAAGGAATCCAGCATGTCCAAAGTAGGAATAGGAGTTGATTCCCAGCTCAATTTTGGTCTCTGTATAGCTCTCCGATTATTCCAAAGATATTTAAAGAGATCTTTTTGGGGTTATATAGGTCAGTTGAATCTGAACCAGTCCAATCTCTGATTCTGCTGATCCCTTTAAGCCGTGGTGTATAATTGAAGTGTCCCAAACAATAGAGAACACAGCAATACACAACAATGAAAACAAATTGGCGCAACTTCTGACTTGCACTCATCTTTAAGAAGTTAAATTTCATGCCGTATAATGGACAGAACACCAAACTAGTGAATATACAAAAAGCTGGACTTATAAACAACCCTGTGATTGTTTGGAGTGCTAGTAAAAAAAATCAGACAAATCTTGCTTCAATCCTTGTACCTGGCTCTACCTTTCCATCTGATTTAGGTACTGATAACTTGATGAACATGAGAAAGATAATAAACCCAGCTGTACTGCCTGCTAAGGAATAGAGCAAACTAGACTGTTAGATGGCAACTTACCTGAGTTTTAGGTTAGAGAAGAAAGCTTTCTGCTGGATTAAGTCAAGATGTTCGAAAGGATATCACAAATTTTGACCCTCAAAAGATGATAAGAGAGAATTTGAGATATGGTAAACTGCAAATCCCCATCCATGTACGAGTAATGCTTTTATGATGGTTGAGCTAAGAAGCTGTTTGTTGAGAGCCTTCTGAGTAGCTATTTTAAAAGCTAAGGGAAGCCCAAGCCCAGCCAAAAACATTAATACTGAGTATGGCATAGTTTGCATTGTCACATGATGGTCAAGATCTGCATAAAAGTATTGTGTTGTGCCAGAATGCTCATGTGTGTCGATCTCATCAAGTCTGAGTAATAGAGTGTCAATCACTTGAATATAATCTTGAATGGCTTTCCTTGAACTAGCCAAAGGAGGCACGAATGTAATTGAATAGATACCATTCTCCAAGAAATCATTATGAGGGTAGTGCAAATTTCCAAAAAGTTGATTCTTTAATGAATCAAGGTACATTATTGGATTTTTCAAAAGCGCAAACGGTATATCAATTCCATTAGCATGCAGAAAATCAAAAACTTCCTTCAAGCCTGAATTGATAGAAGCTCTGATTTCTGAAGTCTGACTTAACAAATATCTCCAAAATTTGTTCTTAGAAAAAGAATATGGATAATTCATGTCATATTTAACTTTCACCTTTTCTAATGCAATTTTGGTTACCCAGATGAGATTTTGGTCATTCATGTTATAGTTTTTTCCCTCTGAGATAACAGAAACTGTCTTGCCCTTTTCCTTGAATTCAGACACTGTAAAAGCATGTCTAATCGTTCCTCATCTTCCTTTGATAAGGTCACTGTTGCTCAAGTACTGTTTGATAAAATTCTTAGTGGATAAAGAGTAAGATGTGCTCTCGTAGAACAAGACTAGAGTATCCTTGTGAAGAAATTGATAATTTGCCTCTTTGAAATGGTAAATTAATCCAAGTCCTACACTAATGCTATTTATATCGTTCACAGGGAAAGCTAATAAGTTGCATTGATTTCCTTTTCCTCTCGGGCTTCTTATGTAAGAAATAAGATTTTTACCCTCATACCCACTCTGGGAATCAGTATAAGGCACAATATATGCTTCAGATTTAAGTTCATTAGCGAGAAATGCTTGTAAAGCATCCCATCTTTGAGTTGGATCGATATCTTCAAACTTTGGATCTACAGACTTGTATATAAAATTCATTATTCCACTGGAGAGATCCAAAGCATCTCTTGGAACTCCTTTGAGGCCAAGATCGTTGACTCCAATTCTGGTAGCAACTTTACCAATGCATAGAGTCCAGATGAATCCAATTATGCAGACAACTAGTAAGAAGTTGAAGAACTTCTTCCTGTAAGCTTCCTCTCTAATAATTTTTGAGATACGCTCTCTGATCATTTTTAGAAATTTAAATTTTTAATTAGTTAAAAGGGGTTTTGGGGTTTTGGGGTTTTGGGG